GTATTCAACAATTAAGCTTCTTACTTTAAATATTTGAAAAAGTTGTATTTTTTGAGTTCAAAAATAATTTTACCACTAAAATAAAAATTTTTTACGTATTTATTTGAATAAATCAATAAATTCATAAATTGAAAATGAATATTTGTTATAATCAACATTCTTTTAATAAAACTGTTCATTTGGTACTAAGAAATTTAGTCATTAAATGTTGTTGTTAAATTGAAAATGCCATGGCACTCGTTAATATTTTTAATGTACTAAAGTAATATCTAATACAGAAGATGATAAGTTAATACGTGTTGATGAAATTCAATTTCTAAGACAAAGCTTAAAGTATGTGTTATAAGCAAAAAGTTTAAGTAATTAAAATAACACTCGAGGAGTTAGAGTTAATTCTGAACCTACGATTCTTGCTGCATTTCTAGCCACATTTGCAGGATATTTCCAATCGCTTATATTCTGATTCAGTTTATTCACTTCATCTTCATTGCATCCCATGTCAGAACGAAATAATACGTGAGCACTGATTTTGCATTGCACTTCAGATGGAAATTGTGCTATCTGAAGAATATCGCATCAAGTATTATCTTGAACAAAATTTTCGAATATCAATAAAGAACATAGTTGCAACAAAATTAGAAATGAATATTTAGAACTAAATTCATAATTTGAAAAGATTTAGAATTTTGATGTTATTTTTTTCTACGATCAATGTTATTTGCTGTGTTTAATTAGTACTAATTTACTGTATGAATATTTATTGCATAAATACTATAATAGACTTGATGTAATAAAGATATTAGCATTTAGTTAGCAAAATAATTGGTAAAGGTGTGTTCAAAAATAACTCTAATTTAGATAAAATACTAAGCTAAAGTTTGAAAAAAAGTAAAGTTGTGTAAGAAAACTAGACTCTTAAGTTGCAATTTTTATGTTCAATTAAGAAGTGTAATTGGCACCATTAAAATTATCATTATGTACTCTATGAAAGGCTGTTCAATGATGATATTTAATTAATAATAATCATAAATAATTAGTAGATTCATCTTACAGTATTTTGTAGTTTTTGTATATTTTCGCTCACGTTTGCTGATGGTATTACGATAACAATAGTTATAGGACCATCCCATGATTCCAGCTGTAGCAATATCATAAACATTTGAAAATTACTTAAGCTATTAAAAAACAATTTATAATTTTTAGTAATTCAACTCATGCATTCAAATTTTTTATCAGAAATTACATTATGCAAGATTATTCAATACCTTTCTTTTTCATTATTATATTTCAAGAACTGTAAAATCTCTGATTGTTGACAATTTTCAAGCTCAAAAAAAAATAATACGAACGAGACAAGTTGAACATCGTAGTCTAGTCTGTTGAAAAAGTTGAATTTGATCTCATAAATAAATATGATCAGTAACTATCTACTGTAGCAAAAACTTCTATTTTTTAATTTTAAATGAAAAAATAACTTAAATTTATGACTCTAATATTTCTTCTAAAAAACATATACACACCTGTTCTATTATATTGTCATTAAAATAATCATAACTGACATGCAGCACTAACGTTATCCTTTCAAATATATCCATGCTATTTTCCAAATCATTTTGCCTCAAATATGGTAACACGCAATAATTTTTATACACGTAAAACCTGAAATTATTATTGCAATACAAATACTCAAATTATTATTAACAATAACAGTAATAATATCAACAACAATGACAATATTAATAAAGCAATAATAGTGGTAAGGAAAGATAATGCTGACAAAATCAGTACTATCACAATAAAAAATGGAATTGGTCAGAATATAATTTTAAAATATTATATTTAAGTATTATTTATGAATGATTTTCAGATTAATTGTAGCCAATGGTGGATTAATTTAATTAATTGAATTTATTCATTTATAACTAAATAATTTTAAAAATTATTATTAAATAAATTGTTATTATTCAGCATAGACCACAAATGCAAACTGTGCTTGAAGTTGCACAACAGTATTTTCAAATAGGTTTTAGTATCTCTTTAAAAAGTGCATAATCAAACAAACATACTCAAAAGCAAAAATTGCAACTGCCCGAAATTTTAAAAACGATTTTTATTTTTAAATTACAAATTTATGCATCGAAACGTCAAAAAATGCTTAATTTTAGAATGAGAGATGAAAGAATATGTGAATTAGCTGGCGGATAATAGTTATGAGAATATTTAAAGAAAATAGCATGAAAAAATCAGACTGAAAGAATGGAATATCGAAATAATGAAGCACTGGAAATGATAACTCAATATCAGAAATTTATTGAAAGCGTATGAGAAATCTTTGTAATTTGTGCAACAACTTGAAACAGAAAATAATATATCAGCACTGAAATCATTGTAGGAGGAGAGCAAACCTTCGTAATGAGTGAATTTATTATGAGATGTAAATATTTCAGTCAGTTGTGAATTAAAAGAAATATGTTCATTTATTAATATAATAGACGAAAAATAAACCAAATTTGGAAAGTTAAAATAATAAATATAAAAAGCGAAAATGTAATAAATGAATGAATAAATGAGTAATAAATAAGAATATGAATAAATTCAACAAAAAAATCATTTCAGAAGAATTCATAAATAATGAATAATAAATAAATAATATCTAATTTGCCTTAATACAAAAAGTTTTAAATGAAGTATTATAACTTTTATTTACTTTGGAATTAAATAATATTTATGAAGTCATGAATACAAGAATGATCTATCTGTGAAGCAACAAAAAATTAGTTTAGCATCTTAGACGGAATTACATATTTGTCTTATTACAGTATTTTATGCAAATGAGGGATTGACAAAGAATTATTGAGAATGAAACTTTTGATCTCAGCTATAAACAATGACAAATAGCACATCAGTAATGCATAAAATGCAAAATTATTCAACATTTTAACATCTGTCTGATATCTGATCAATGAATAATTCATAAAATTTTTGATTTGATATGCAAGCATCGTGTTTTCATTATTATTTCAAAAGATTAGCTAACAATATTTTAGCAATTTTTAGAAAAATAGACAAGAAAATACATTTTCATCTAATCAAATAAAGATAAAATATTATTAATGCATGTCGCATAGTAATAACTTTAAAAATCATTAAAAATAAGCTCAGTTATGAAAGGGATAATTATTTAGTGTGTGTTCATCGCTATGAAATTGAATTAAATATGTGCAAGAAACTGAAATTTTGAAAATGTGTGATATAAAAAGATTGAAAAAATTTTCAAAAATTCAAATATAATATATGAAATAAATCATTACTAATTTTATGAAAGAGCAAAGGGATAAAGTAATTTAATAAATAGCGGGAAATCTGGATTTTTAATTATCGCTTAATTATGCAAATATTAATTCAGTAGTCATGATATAATGACAGAAACATGGCAGAATACCAAGATTGATGATAATGGAACCATAATGAAGATCAAGGGTAAGGTCAGCTTGCATAATAACGAGAATTGCCATGATGTTTTATCATCAATTTAAATGCTACTGTAATACTATTATTAAAATATTAATGAATAAATTAATATTTATGAAGAATTCTTGTGGTATACCTTCGAGTATCACTTCCAAATCGCTCATTACATACTACCGTACCATCCAATTTGCATATAATAAGAATAGTGGAAAAAAGCAAAAATACAGCAACAATAAAAGTTCCAGTTTCTTTTTGCATACTTCATTGAATCCAATTGTCTGAGAATTGATAAATTCACTTTGTTGTCAACATTCCTCGCCACATTTTGCACCTTAATTTTAATTAAAAGTTATTACTTGTCATCTTAACTTTAATTCGATTGTTTTTTTAGATTTATTATTGCAAAGTTGAGAAATAAGCAGTAAAAATTGATAAGATTAGTAACCGAAATCATTGATAGGTTGAAAGCTGAGAAGACAATTCTTAAAGAGTTATTAAAATAAGAATTTAAAAAAAAGGAAAATTATATAAATATATTTAAAGCTTATATAAGTTATTGAATGCAGTCATAGTAATAAGGTAAATAACTTAGGAATAATGAAGATTTACTTATGTATGAGAGAGATCACTGTCCCTTACCAGATTATTTTCACAAAAAGAGCCTTCAAAAAAGCTGAGATCAAAATTTTTGTAACATGTTTTGACATGAATATTTTGTATGAATTGAAATGATATTATTATTATTATCATTATCATTATACCATCTCATTGAATGATGAATGTTTTGTATAAATTGAAATGATATTATTATTATCATTATCATTATTATCATCTCATTCAATGATGTATGTTTTATATCAATTGAGATGATATTATTATCATCTCATTCAATGTTACATTGTGTAATAAAATTAGCACACACACTTTTAAGTTTTATTGTAATATTATCGCAGTTATATTAATGCATTAAATTATTAATATTATTTTAATCGAAAATATTAGGTATTTATTGTAAAACACAAAGCCGTAAAGAAATAGTTAAGCATCAAAAATGCTTTCTGAGGGTTAATACAGCATTGTTCGGTTGCATTTTTAAAATGCTTTTGATTTTTTTCTTGAAATATTTTAAAATGATTTGACTGTTTTTTCAGCAAATTTTTGCAATAAAAACTAAAATCAGAAGGAAGAAAAAAGTGCATTGATGCCTAACGATATTTGACATTCATCTTTGTACATCAGAAATATCTAACGCAGATATTATCAAACGTTATATTTATAAAAAATCAGGAAATATACTTGAATAATTCAAGAAAATGCCTTCATTTTTTTCATCGAATTGTGAATGCAAAGTTTTTGCATTACTTATCGTTTGAAAAATGTAAAGTTTTTGTTATAATTCAATTTGGCATCACTTACTACGATTACGTGTAACTTCCAGTAGATAAAGCATTAACTGACTTTTTAAAAGGATACTTTTTATTACAAAGATTTGTTTAAAAAAAATCAAATCATTGCAAAATATTTTGAGGAAAAATACTCAGAAGCATTTAAAAAATTCAAATAAGCAATGTAGTATAATGCACGGATAGCATCCTTTTCATCCACATGCATTTAGTATTTAAGTTATACAAGTATTAATATTAAAATTATATATCAATTATCTGATTAGCAGCACTAAAATTAGGTATTAGTAAAATTTGATAATTTTTAGAAAGTATACTTTTAGCGAAACATTTAGGATGGAACTAATAGCACCATTATTGTTCTTCTAATTTAAATATTTTGCATTAAAAGTATTTATCTTACCTAATACTTTTGAAAAATAAAGTTCTAAGAGCATAAAAAGAGGAATGTACAACAAAGTAATGAAATTCATCATATTAGATAAATGCACAAGTGATATTTTGAATTAAAACTGAAGGATAAGTTGATAGATATGAAAAAGATTCAAATTACTCAGTGATAATTCAAAAAAAAAGAAATTTAAATACCTTTAACTTATTGAGTATTTCAAAGTAAAAAAAAATCTAAAATATTTTAGTGTTATTTATCTATACAAGACGTTTTTGACATTTTTGTATACGAGTACAGTACCTAATTATGCGTAATTTGATCTAATCATTGATACACAGATATCGAATAACATACAGCAGCTTAATTGCTGATATATATAGATGGGTACATACACGCAATAAATTTCTTAAAAAAGTTGCAACATATTGAAATTCTAAATGTATCAAAGTTGTATCACAAAATTTGTTATTCTCAAAATTCTACTGATCGTTTACTTATGAGATATATTCTCATAGACAAATGCTACTTACGTTACCTTTGTTCTAAATAAGCTTAAATCATTCATTGCATTATACTAATTCTAATGCTTGACCTTTGCATAACTTCTATGAGAAATTCAAAAAAAAAGTATATATATCATTTCAATTTGGATAAAGCTGCTACTCGAATAGAGGGAAATCCTTGAAGGAGACGAGTTCTTGCCTTAAATTAATTGCTTAGTGACAGCAAACAAACAAAGATTCTGTTCTTCCTTTTTTGGTCACAAATTTGGAATCATTTGACTAGCAGTTTAGATGCAGCCAGCACTTTTTTCTGCATGAATCATTTCGTATTGATAATACTTTTTCTTGATTAAATACTTAAAAATTAGATGAAAGTTGTATGAGTCAACGT